ATTATTCCTTATCATATAAAAAATACAAGTTATTTTAAATATTGGATAATAAATTCATCAAACTAATACATTATATTTATAACTTTCACAACTATGGATTCTAGTCATTAAATGAAATAGATCCAAACATGCAATGTAAGTTGTTCTTTAATGTATAACAAGCCACACCCGATTCATATATTATACCATTATTTATTTCATCATATTTCCAACATAAATGAACACACTATTCTATTGAATCGTAAAAATTCAATGCATATGTTATTAAAAATACAAATGCTTAAAGATTATAAAAACGGGAGATAAAGATGAATTAATTTGACACCGTGAATGGTGTACGTGAAAGGTAATCTCCACTTCGCAAATAGATGCAATCGCGGCATTCCTTGAGAAGTGTCTACAATTGTTTCTACTTAAAAATGTGATTTTGATAAAATAATGAATAGTAAAAGTTGATGATCTAAAGCCTTGATCGAGAACAAATGATAATATTCAAAAAGTAAAAGGTACTTCCTTCGTCCCAGAATTTACTTCCATAGTACAAATGGGCAATGGCACACAGATTAAGAAAGTGAGAATTATGCAGAGGAAAGAGAAATGTGTAAGAATTGCTGTGAACCACAAATTCTTTACCAAAAAGGGAAAATGAAGTTCTTTTTTAGACAGACAAAATGGGAAAGTTGGAAGTAAATTATGGGACGGAGTGGGTAGCATTGTTCGTAAAAAAATACTCCGCATGACGTAATAGAAAAATTGAAAAATAGTTTAAAACATCAACTATTTTGGATTTTTTACTTTAACGTGCTTAATTTACATGTTTACCTGAACACACAAATTTTTACATTTTTAACCCAAAAAATCAAATATAAGTTTTAAATACTGTAAACACTTCTTAATACTCCTACTATATTATGAAATACTCCTTCCGTCCTAAAATGATAGTCCTGTATTTCCTTTTTGGGATGTCCCAAAATGATGATCCTGTTTCCCTTCTTAGAAAGAAAGATGTGGTCCATATCATTTCACTTTATTATACTCAAATCTCAACCACAACTTTTACCTTTTAAACCACTTTATTAAAACTTGTGTCCAAAACAAATGAGACTATCAAATTGGTACGGAGGGAGTACTTCGTAGATAATACAAACTTTTGGTTGAATTGATTTTCGACCAAGCGTCTAGTCAATCTCGATTCTGGAGAGGGGAGTCTTCCTCCACTCACTTTCATTGCCTATTTTATACTCCCCGTCCCTACATTATCTTCAAATTTTCTTTTTCATCTGTTCCAAAATTATCTCATCTTTCTTTTTTTAGCAAAGAATTTGCGGTTTATAACAATTATCACACATTTCTCTCTCTTCTGCACAACTCTTCACCACACAAAACTCACTATCTTAATTTGTGTGTCGGGTCAAATGAGGAGATAATGTAGGGACGGAGAGAGTACAATTATACACTGCAATTAAGAAAATACTGTAAACAACAACAATAGAGGGGGGTGTTTGGAACTGATTCTGCTTCTGCTTCTTTTTTTAAAGAAGAAACAGAATTAGAATCAGTTTTCAGAAGCTAGGTTTTCCCATATTCTACAAAAACTGCTTCTAGGAGTAAATTAGAGCACCAGAAGTACTTATGCATTTTTATCTAAACACTCCGACTTCTGCTTCCACTCTTTAAATGAGCAGACGCAGTGTTAAGAATCATGTCGGCAGATCCAAACACCCCGAGAATATAGTACTACGAAACATTAATATTACTAAAGTTACTAAAACTGAAGCAGAAATTGGAGTGTTTGGTAGATCAACAGATCGAGATCCCTTTATTAGAAAAACATATTGGAATTACCCTGCCCACAAAAGAGGACCCACATTTTTTACCATGGGTGCTTGGGGTTTACCCTCTAAGGGTATTCCAAGAAGTCAACACACTAATTTATTTTACTTAAAAATCTGTGAAGTAGAAATAAGAACTTAATTTTGTGATGCAAGGAGTAGCAGATACAGTCATACGGAGCACTACAACAATTAGACTAGTGGCCAAAACATTTATGTCTCTATTCTCAGAGTGCATGGTCATTATAATTTTCGGCATATCAGTCTAATAAATTTATTTTTTTATCAAATTCGTAACTTTTTATTTTCAATACTGAGATGTATAATAAAATAAAAATAAGATTTGAGTTACTTTCATGACCGGATTAGCAGAAATTTATTGTAGATGACCATTTAAGTTATTTTATACTCCGTATATTTTTTTCTTTATTTATTAAGAAAATACACCATATATTTTAAATATAATTTTTTATAATATATGAGATTCACTCAATTCAATTACTTGATTCAAAAGCTTCTAAAATTTCAGTAGAATTCACTAATTTACCTAATTAAGTGTTATAGAACTAGTTTCTAATTATCTTTTTATTTTTTGATCATCAAAACCAACACTTATTTTAAAATCATTAGGAATCGGATCGTACAACGAACTCAAATAGACCAACCTTGACAACAACTATCTGTAACCAACTAGCACAATCAACCCTATGGCTAGACTCTAAGAATATCACCCCTGAAAGAGCAATACAATTCGCTAACCACCAAGCGGGTGTGACACATCAATCATTGGCCATGCCATATAGATCCTTCTAACTACATAATATCTGCCAGAATTGACAATCATTATTGTAGCCGTAAAACTAAAGTCATCAACAAAAAACGAAGCACCATAAACAAACATAACATAAAATAAGATCATAAAAAAATAACTGACAAATAGTCCAAACTCCTCCCTGAATGTTTTCTTGAAATATCATCTTCCAAACCCTAGCATCTCGATCGATCCAAGGCGGCAGTTCAGGAGGGGGACGGACTTCCAATCTGTATTCTCCCTTGCTCAGCCCTTCATTGCTCCCCGTCTGTTCATCACCCGTGTTGAGGGTTGGAACAAAATCTGTCAACTCCTGAGCCGTGGCTAGATTGCCAGAAGAAACAAATCGCACTTTCGCCAGATCAATTCAAACCAAAAGCGGGTAGAAAACCTCTGCCAGACTATTGATAACCAGAGAGCAACAGAAAGATAGAACAAAGATTGTAATATTATTGATTATGATTGTTCAGATTTACAGAGTATTTATAGACAAGGAACTGTATTGCTAACAGCTAACTAATACACGAGATAGTACTAACAGTAGTTAGTTAGTTAGGTACAATATACTGAACAGAATACATTCCTAATATTCCCCCCTCAAATTCAGTGTGATTTGTGTGAAAACTCAATCACATTGAGTTTGTTCTTCAACTCTGTAATTCTGGATGGTGAGAGTGGTTTAGTCAGCACATCTACAACTTGATAAGGATCAGGTATGTGCTGTACTTGAAGTGTTTTATGCAGAATCTTTTCTCTGACAAAGTAGAGATCAAGTTCCATATGTTTTATTCTTGAATGAAAAACAGGATTATGAGCAAGTAGATACTGAATCCACAAAAGTTCTGATGTAGTGTCAGCTAGACTTCTGTATTCAGCTTCAGCTGAAGACCTGGCTACACATAGTTGTTTTCTTGACCATCAGGAAATAAGGTTAGGGCCTAAGAAAACACAAGAACCAGATGTTGACCTTCTGTCATTGGGATCTGAGGCCCAATCAGCATCACAAAATGCACTTAGTTGGATAGGAGTCCTCGAAAGAATTGGTTGTAGAAGAAGACCATGTTTAAGTGTACCAGAGAGGTATCTTAATATTCTTTTCACTGCCTTCCAGTGATCTTCTAATGGAGATGCCATAAACTGACACACTTTATTGTTAACAACATAGCTACTTTATGGCCTGGTTAGAGTGACATACTGTAGAGCACCTACAATAGATCTGTAGTGTGTAGCATCAGTGACATAGTTGCATCCTTCTTTTAAAAGTTTGCAACTACTAAGCATATTTCAGAAGCTTGTGAAATATTTCAGAAGCTTGTGAGCACGGATGACGGATTCAACGTGATGTTTCCAGAACAAAAAATTGTTCGAATCAAGTTTAAGAGGAAGCGGATGTGAGAAGCTCACCGGAAATGGAGTATTTCCGGTGGAAGAGGTGGTGGAGGAGGTTGTTTACGATGACGCAATGATCGAATAACCCAAGCTCTAGATACCATATTGATAACCAGAGGGCAACAGAAAGATAGAACAAAGATTTTAATATTATTGATTATGATTGTTCAGATTTACAGAGTATTTATAGACAAGAAAATGTATTGCTAACAGCTAACTAATACACGAGATAGTACTAACAATAGTTAGTTAGTTAAGTACAATATACTGAACAGAATACATTCCTAATACAGACCAATCCAAAAAGACCGCCGGATAATCCAATCAAAACTAAAACAAATCTCAGCCAAACCAAGCCAAAAACAGTCATAAGAACAAACAATAGGATATACCTAGACAAGGATTGCCAGTTATATCCCCACTCGAGAATGAAATGAGACCTTTGCTAATGACGACAAGGCTTTGCCATGGCCACCGAAGCGCTAGGGTTTTTCGTAGAGTTTTTAATTATCTAAGAAGTATACTCGGTACAATAATTCTTGGGGTACACATTCTTATACACATCAGTACACCCTCGTGTCTGTGAGAGTTTTTTTATCTGTGAATCCTAGTCCACAGACAAAAATATGTATGTTTTGTCTGTGAAAAATTCTACAGACAAAACAAATCTGTCTTTGTCTGTGGACTGGGATTCACAGACAAAAAAACTCTAACAGACACGAAAGTATACTGATGTGTATAAGAAAAGTGTACAAAAACAATTTTTGTACTCGGTATACGTTTATGGGGAGTATATGTGAATGAATTTCTTTATTTTCATGATAAAAAAGATGAATTTTTCGTAATTTGGTCCATGTGCAAGTAATTATTTTTATTACCGCTGGCGCACGAACGCCTGGGTCCGCACGTACGAACCTCCCTTTAGACCCTTTTCTATTTAAGTATCTCCGGCTGCCTTTACTCTCTCTCTCATTCATTTCCCTTTCTCTGTAATCACCATCTCCATCTCTTCTCACACAGATGGATGACTATACTCCGCCGCCGATGCTTCTGGACTTCGATAACCTTCGAGCAATCAAAGTTCTAGGCAAAGGCGCCATGGGAACCGTCTTCCTCGTCCACAATGTGTCCACTGATCCCGCCGCCCTCTCTCCATTTGCCCTCAAGGCCGTCGACAAGTCATTTTCCCCCGACGAGGACCGCCGCGCTCGCTGGGAAATCTCTGTTCTGTCCCGTTTCCGCCACCACGACCCGGCCCATCCGTTTCTCCCCACTCTCATCGGCTCCTCAGAGACGGCCGAGATTCTATGCTGGGCCGTGCCGTACTGCCCCGGCGGCGATCTCAACGTCCTCCGTCACTGCCAGAACGACAGCGTTTTTTCGCCCTCCGTCATCCGATTTTACCTGGCGGAGATCGTCCTCGCCCTCGAGCATCTTCACGGGCTGGGCATGGTTTATCGCGATTTGAAGCCTGAGAATATCCTCATTCAGCGGTCAGGTCACGTGACCTTAACTGATTTCGATCTCTCTAGAAGCTTGACTGTGAAAAAACTCGACCCCGTCCATTTTTGCTCGGAGCCTGAACCAGATACCCAGCCGCGCAGGAGATCGACTTCCACGCGCTTCGTCTTCCTCAACAAGAAGAATGGCGGTAACCGGAAAGGGATGAGGAAAGTAATGAGCGCACGCGTTTCGCCGGTGAGCCGGAGGAGCCCGGGATCGTTTTACGAGCGCTCGGATTCCTTTGTCGGTACGGAGGAGTACATTGCGCCTGAGGTTGTTCGAGGGGAAGGCCATGAGTTCTCCGTCGACTGGTGGGCCCTTGGAGTTCTATGTTACGAGATGATGTACGGTAAGACTCCATTCCGTGGGAAGAACAGGAAGGACACGTTCCGGCGAATCCTGATGATGCAGCCGGAGTTCATGGGAAAGCCGAACGCCTTGACGGACTTGATCGGAAAGTTGCTGGAGAAGGACCCCACGCGCCGGTTGGGTTACTGGAGAGGCGCATCAGAAATCAAAGAGCACGAATTCTTCCGTGGGCTGAGGTGGGACTTATTGACGGAAGTTGTACGGCCGCCGTTTCTGCCGTCTAAAGACGAAACTGAGATTAGTGAGGAGGCTAGGAGAGGCGGCATCGATATTCGGGATTATTTCGACAAATTAAAAGCTCCGCCATCGCCGTTATGGTCGCCGTCGCCGGATAACGGAAGACATAACGTGTCTTTATCGGTGTTCTAACGGATAAACGGACGGTGTATGTATATTGTAAATAGTTATGATTTTTTTCCCTAGGGTACTATATTAAAATAGGTTTATTTATTTTATTATGTTAGAGTAATTAGTGGGAAATAATAGTGAATAATTGAGGTCGTAATTAGCGGCGATGTTTAAAAGAGGTGTTAGTCACTAAAGGAACATAATGATTTAGGTAGGCGTACTCTATTTTTGGCTGGTTTTCTACTGTTAGATTCACAAAATATAGTGTTCAAACGCGCCAATGGTGGGGCGTGATAGACAATCGCATCAGTACGACGGGAATAAAGTTACTTACAGTGAAGGCCATAAATAGGTTAAAAATTTCTGGTCCTACAGTTCTTCATTTCAGTAAGGTGAACATAGACCGTTAGTTTCAATCCCTACCCCTACACAGATTCGAATTTGATTCGAATTGGTGAGATTTTCCATAATACACTTATAGAGTTATAGACCCCCACACCCTTCCAGTCTCTTTTCATAAAAAAATGGATGACACCCCATCCCCCAGGGTCCCTCAATCCCGACTGGACGGTACGTTGGGAGGATGTAAGTTGGATTATAATCTCAATCTGACAGATAGAGAGTGGGGCTCTATCTTCGGTATTTACAGATGCGCTATGCATTTTTTAGCATAGTAACCCCTCATCGCAGTTGTCGGGATTCGAACCCGTGATCTAATCCTTGTGGCACTTCCTTCATACTAGTTGAGTTCTCTTTTCATCAAACACATAAGTGTGGTAAATTTTCGCACGCTAAATTGTACTCCGTCCCGCCAGAGGTTTCCGTGGACGGTTTACGATGCTTGATTGACGATAAAATAATTTAATCTTTGTTCACACTCTGATTATTTTTAGTAAATAGAATTAACATATTCAGAAATTACATTAATACCGCTACAAAGCCAGATGAGACGGAGGTACTAGATTATAATTAATTTTTAAAGTAAAAGATTAAAAATGATAAAAAATGTAATCATCTGAATAGATTAAAAATTTGATAAAAAATTGAATTTATAAAAAAAAAGATAAAAAATGATTTAAGTTGACTATGTGAATAGTGGACGAGAACCTTCTAATGGGATGACGGTAGTAGATTATAATTAATTTTCTGATTGTATTGGCTAAAGTTATTGTAGATGATAATTTTAGCTATTTTTCATTTTACGTATAGTTTTTTAAAATTGATATATTTTAATTAATAAATTATATTTTAAATATAATTTTTTCATAAATCTGTTGAATCAGTCAATCTAGACGTTTCAGATAATTTTTTTTTAAATTTCAACAGAATCAGTCAATTTAGTTATTACCAAAAGGGTTCTAAAATTTTACTAGTATCAAATTTGAATGGACACAGATATCATAGAAACTATAAATTTATCAATTAAGAAAAAGTAACAACATTTTAAGACAATCTAAAAATAAAAATGATAAAATTATACAATCATTCTTGATGTACACACCCTTGTACACACATTGTTTATGAAGGTTTTTTTTGTCTGTGAATCCGGTTCACAGACAATATTTTGTTTGTGCAAAACATTGTCTGTGAATCGATGTTCACAGACAAAAAAAAAAGTTTCACAGACATAGGTGTGTACAAAAGTGTGTATAAGAATGTGTACAAACATCTTTTTTCAAAATTATAAGGGTGGGAGTGAGTATCTTATTAGATTGAAGTGGCGAGTTGATAGAGACACTGTCGGCCCGCTTGAAATATTAGACAAGTTACAAATACCTTTCAAATTAATCAAAATTTGATTGTGCAGTTAAAAAAGCTTTGTCTGTAGAGGGAATGTAATTATGGTATATTCCAAGTAATTGAGGATACTTATCCAAGTCTAGTACTTAGAGCATCTCCATTCATGATCTCTAATAATTAATTTTTTATATGATTCTTACCATTTAAATATTGTTATGTAATTAATTATAAAATAATCTCAAAATTCGTTTATGTCTCTCAATCATCATCTTCAAATAATCTGTTTTTTCTCTGTCCCGCATTTATCTCTATTACATATACTTTTCAAATAATGTTAAAATAATCCGGATTCATATTTTGATCCCAGATTATTGTAGCAAATAATCCTATTAAATAATCTATGTCACTCATTGATAATTCTCTAAAAAAATTGCCATGTCACCAATTTAATCTTGTAATAATCCTCCCGACGAGGATGCCCTTAGGCATCTATGCTTAGATTATTCATTAAGAATAATTACTCATTTCTTTCCTTACATGTTTGGATGAAGTTTTCTTCCCTATTTGGTTTAGGATTTTCTTGTTTGAACTTTATGTATTTTTCAAGTTGATTGGTGAGCCTTGTTTGTCATAGTGGGGCCAAGGATTTAAAAAAGTATCCTTTTTCTTTAAAGTGAAATAACTTTTTCATTTTTGCTCCAATTATTTTTAAAAAAATATCAAATTCAAAAAATTTATGATCTATCGTATGACACCAATATTGCATATGGAAATTAAAAAAAAAGGTTTATTTTACAACATTCCTTTTTCCAATCTGGATATGGATTATTCCATATCAAAAACAAAGAATTAAGTCCTAATACATGACCAAAATAAGGAAAGTAGATAAAAATTTCACTTATTAATTTTTATTGGGACTATAATTATGTTTAAATTCTATATTAAAGTTTCTATAAAAGTGTAATCCTATTTAACTCAACACTAATTTAGTAAATAATTTTTTATTTAATACTAGTGTTATTTTGGAAAATTATTATTATTATTATTATTATTATTATTATTATTATTATTACTATTATTATTATTATTATTATTATTACTATTATTATTATTATTATTATTATTATTATGGTTTGACTCAACATTATAGTGTCTCTTTATTGATTTTAATTTATTCTAATTATTATTATTACTTTCTTTTCCAATGCAACAAAGGAGTTATATACCCATTCCGTCCCAAATTGATTTGCAAAGTCGAACATTTTTTGGTCAATCAATGTTAAAGTTAAATCCTTTCTATAAATTACATAAAAATTTCTTCAAAGTTGCAAAATACATATTAGAATATGAGTTTCAAATATATCAACAACACTTCTACCGTTTTCTTTTTGAGTTGTGCTATAGGTACACCATTTTGGGTACCCCATTTTTATCTGTGTAATCCAAATCATGCAACATTTAAATGAGTTGCTCCACTTATATAAAATTTTTGGTAACCTTCTGATGTGTAATCTTAATCTCAATTTCAAGCTAAGTAATGTCGAACATATGGAGCCTGTCGTGACCCTTCTTTTCGGGTTATTAGTCTTATCAGTTAAATTTTTCATCAAATACATAACTTTTGATTTCGCGCGCTGAATTGTGTAAAAAGTAGAGTTATAGTTACTTTTCTATTACGAAATCGGTCGAATCAACTGGTTCAACCAACTTCAGTGTGCATACATGATAGATTCATACTTCATAGTTGGTATGTACGTACTAAAGCATTGTATAGAATACATTACTCAAACTGAACACATTAATAAGATCCACACGGAATACTAAGTTACTCACTACATTGAAAAATTATTATTTTCACATCAACAAACATATGCCAAGATAAACATTTCTTTTTTTTAGTCAACCATTTCAGCTCACTGGGTGGAAGGTTACCGTGTCCTAGCGGTGGTCTCGGGTTCGATTCTCGCTAGGCACATTTAGGGGAGAGGAGGGAGGTCTTGCTCCCAATGATTCTTCCTACCTTCACGGAGTTGCTCAGCGGCTGAGAAAGGAGAGGATGGTAATGAAGGTAGCGGGTTCGTGTGGTGGGAGGAGCAGCCTGAAAGGTGATGTAAGTCCTGCTGGATTCGTCCTTTGGAGCCAGTACTGACGAGGCTGACTGTGATCAGATCCGGACTTAACTGTCTAGGAGCTTTGGAGGGTAGTTCATAGACTCCAGGATTATGGGAGCGTAAGCCCCGACACCTGGATTATCAAAAAAAAAAGAAAAAAAAAAGGAAAAAAAAAAGATAAACATTTCTTTTATTCATAGTGGGGTTAATTGAATGGTCATGAAATATATGGATATTAATATGTGATGTGAATGTACTTGAGTACTTGTATACATTGAACGAATATTGGAATAGTTCCAAAAAGAAAAAAAGTGGTACAAGAAGCCAATTATTTTGGTGCTTTATCTCGACACCCATCACCTCGTATGCAATCGACACAAAACATTGCATATTTTGCATGCATGTGCCGGACTCAGTCCGATCCTCACAAATGGCTCCTACGTTTAATTAAGTTTATTTGTTTATTCCCCCAGATTTATCCTTTTTGGACGTTACCCTTTTTTAATAATTTATTATTTATGGACTAAGATGCTTCCTTATTTCCAATTATTAATTATTATTACAGTACCATATTGTATCGTCCTGATTTTATGTATACCAACATTATTGTGATCTTGTGATCAGGGGCGGATCTAGTATAGGGTCTTGGAGGGCCTATACTACATACTAGGGATGGTCATTTCGGTTTTCGGTTCAGTTTTCTTCGGTTTCGGTTCGGTTTCGGTTTAATCGGTTTGATAGAAAATGTACCAAATACAAACCGATTAAGTTTCGGTTTGGTTTCGGTTTGGTACGGTTCGATTCGGTTTGGAGTTCAGTTTACCAAAGTATTAAGGTTTAGATTGAAATAAAAAAAAATTAACTCAAAATAATGAACCAAGAAGCGATAGTAATGAACCAAATATAATGTTAGATATAAATTTGCAAACAGTAACAAAACACATATGAACCAAAATTATATAAGCATGACACATTTGTATGCAACAACAACAGGAATAAATCAAATTATATATAAAGCCGAAACAAAAACAAAACTGATGCTTGTAAGTCATGAACCAAATATATAGTAGTAGTAGATAATAAATTATAGTTAAATAAGGTCTACTTAAACCACTATAATTGTTATAGTTGTGAATGTAAGTCTTGTAGTAAACTCTAGTCCCCGACACTAAAATTAAAGAATTAAAGAATTAAAGTTTCAAAAAGATTAACATCAATTAAATTAAATTAATGAGAGGAATCTTATATTTTAGTTTGATTTAGTTTGGTGTAAGTTGGTTTGGATTTGTTATTTAAAAAAAATAAGAAATTATTTCATTTTTAGATTAGTTCGGTTTTATTCGGTTTTATTCGGTTTTATGATTTCGGTTCGGTTTGGTTCGGTTTAATACGGGTTGGGAGGAATACTACCAAACTCAAACCAAATTACAAATGATTCGGTTTCGGTTTGGTACGGTTCAGTTCGGTC